TTCATCTTTGAGAACTGTGCTTTGATTTTCAATCAGTCGTTTCATTTCCTATTTTATAATGCACAATCTATTCCACTGTTGATGGCTTCTTACTCATCAGTATTACAGGTCCTGTGATTATTTAAGATGCCATTTTGTAAAGCATAAGGCAGGAGAAGAAAGAAAATAATGGAGCCAATTTCATGATCCTGACAAGCTTGGAGCCAGGCCAATCGTCATTAGCAGGAAATCCTCTCATTGCATTTTTGTCCTGAGAATTTCATAATGTCCACCAATACCTTATATACATTTAGAGAAGGATTGAGACTGTATATTGTGTTTCAGTTTGAGGATATTTGAGGCATATGAGCATGCGGGCACATATGTGCATGATGGAAAAAAAGGTGGGAGCCAGAATGTGAGAAACACCCAGGTGCTCTATCTTCCTTGACTCAATTTGTTTCTTACTTAATTGAAGAACTCTAAATGTAAAATAAACTTGAAGAGATCATTAAAAATTCCTATCCAAAAATGTACTGCTAAGGGACAGAAGGAATGAAAAAGAGAGTAAAATGTGCTGGCTTTGGATTTTACGTATACAAGGGTAGGCAAAAGTGGGTTTACAGTTGTGAATACACAAGAATTTACTCTTATATTATTATTTATAGTATTATTTATTTGTATTATTTTTTATCCTTACATATGATTTATCTTTTAGGAAATAAAAGTATTTAACCTACTTTTGCCCACTCCTGTTTGTATACTTATCTTTTAGGAAATAATGGCTGGTATTTAACCTACTTTTGCCCACTCCTGTTTGTATACACACACACACACACACACACACACACACACACAAATGTCCCATATCATAATACTGATAACTTTTTAAAGTCTATAATATGAATTTACCATAGAGACTGGAACAGTGAACATGGAATGTTATTAGCCTAATTCCCAATTTCCAAAAGAATGGTAATAATGGTTGCCCTGCTGACAGACAGTGCTTAAGGCCATCAATTTGAGGTAATAATACCAGACACCTTAAAAAATATAGTAAGTATATTTTCAAGTGAACAGAAATAGCTACAATATATTGAGCTTATATGTGACTACTACTCTTGTGTGTTTTATGTTACCTTATTTGGTTCTATGAGCATTATATATGTTCCCATCATCGTTGTACTAATGAAAACACTGGATCGTGGAAAGACTGCGTAGCTTGCCTTGTGCAAGGTCACCTAGCTTGTACTCAGCAGAACTGGGATATAAATACAGGTCCATTAGACTCCACACCCAGATTTGTTGCATATTTATATCAGTGATGAGAAATTGTCCAGTTACCTTTACATTTATTAATTTCATTTTAAGAAGTTGCATTTTATGATTCTGGATATGTTTCTAATAATGCATGTTGCCTGGCATTAGTAACATCTCATATTTGAAAACCAATTTTTTAAAACATTTTCATTTCTTCTTTTAATTCTCACTACAGTGAGAAGGAAGCATTTTAATTCCCATTTTACAACAATAAAAATTGAAATACAAACATTTTAAGTGCTTTGCATAAAGAAAACAATTAATACCTGAGCCAGAATTCAAACTGAAGTCATCTCACTCCATGTCCAAAGCTTTCATCAATACACAGGTAGAAGCTGGTTTGAGACTGTGGGACTGCTGAATGAAAAGTGAGAAAAAAAGTAAAAATTTCCAAAAAAAACTAAAGTAATTCTCTTTCCATCCCCATTCACCAGAATAACCAGTTTGTTGTGTACCTCTAATGCTTTTTCAAATTAATAAAAATATGTACAAATTAATATAGTTTTAAATTTTTAAGTATTTTAAAATACCATCATACTATAGATATTATTTATAATTAGATTTTTCTCTTTACATTATTCCAGATAAATCATATAGATCTAACTAGTTATATTTCAAGATATGGAAGAATTTCCATATGAACATATTTACAACAAGGACAGGTATTCAATTTTGCCGCAACCTGCACGGCTAGGGTTCAGGATCTGAAGAAGGGGCCTACGCACAAATGAAAATGCTATACAAAATGTATGAATTTAGAAGGCATTGGGGGCCAGGGGTGTCTCTTTCGTGAAGAACACACACCGAAATTCTGACCGGTCTGCTTTTTATTCAGTTTTAGATACACATCTTGCCCTCAGTAAAGCACGGCAAACAGGCAGCAGACAGACCATCTCAAAGGTCAATAAAGATCAGTAAAGATCAGTAAACATTTACTTTGAGGCTAGCAGGTCCGGTAATCGCTTCGAGCCACCACTATCTCAACACAGCCCTGCTAAGTCCAAGGTCCATCGGCCTTCCGCATTCCTTGGTGCACTCTTAGGACAGTATCGGGAAAGCGGTGGCTTCCCGCACAATTCAACAAATATTTATGGAGCCCTACCATGTACTGGACTGGGGATATGGCAATGAACAAAACAGACAAAATGCCTGCTCTTGGACTGTCACAGTTTACCACAGTGTAGCCAACCTACTTTTGTCAATAACAGTTTTAACATACGTGTTTCCCAATTTAACGTATAATTTATTACTTTAAGAAGTTACATAAGTTCTATAGTATGGGCATATAAAAACTTATCCAGCCATTTATTTTTGACATTCAGTTTATTTTTTGTCTTGATTTTTATAATCAATGTTGCAATAAACACCCATATTACACATATCCAGGGTGATGGTGCCTTATTTCTTCTGAAGGGTAGGTTTTAAAAAGTAGGATTGTTGACTCAAGGGATATAGATGTATAATTTTAAACTTTCAATAAATTCCTCAGGTTACTTCTAATAAAAGGTTATAGCAGTTATATTTTTCTACCAACGTCTAACAGTACTGATTTCGCTACATCTTGCCAACACTGAAGTTTACGTATGTGCAATGTTTGCCAACTCTGTGTTTCCTCCCAGACCTCACCCTAGGTGTGTCTTCATTTGGCTGGTCCTCCTAATTGGAATTCTTTATAATAAAACTAATTACAAATACAGCGAAAAAAATTTGCCAAGCTGATAGGCCAAAATAGTTGTGATATTACTGATTTAATTTGCATTCCTCTGGCTCTTCTCCTAGGGAGGGTTGAGCATCCTTACCTATGCCTACTGCTTGTCGGGTTTCAAATTAATAATGATTGCCAATATTAGAGCCAGGGACTGAAATGTGCATCCCTCATTGGTTCTTTATCACAACTCTCTCAGAGAGATAACATCTGCTTCCCTGGCCCACTTTACAGACGAGAAAACTGCTTCTAAGAAATGATGGGACCCCAGGTCACACGACAGGTGAAGTGGTAGAGTGTGGATTTTTAACAAGTCTGACTGTAGGGCTTCTGGGTTGAACAACTACACAAACTGCTTCTGCTGCCAGGAACACTTTCAATGCATTCCACCCAGTCTGACTCCCTCCCTTCAAGTGGAAACAAGCTGATTAAACTAGCAAATACTTGAAGGTTCCCTGTACAGAAGACACTGTGACAGACATTATTTGGTGATCTGAAGAGGCAAAGTCTTATTGAGAAACCAAAAAAAAAACCCAAAAACATTATACTAGTATAAGCAACTATGGTGTGATCAGCAAGTCTATCCCGTGTCAGGGAAGCCACCATACAAAATTCTGCAGCCCTACACAATTTAATACTATTCAGAAT